ATGAATCCGACGTTTGAGCCGTTGAGAACCCGAATGGTGACTATACCTGATCCTTACCTCCAAGTCTGGTGGAAATTCATGAACAAGGAGGATAGGAAGAAAGTTCAAAGACACATAGGCCATCTTCCGTCATTAATGGAAATGGTGGCTTACCCCGACTTGATTGGGACGATGGTGAAATTTTGGGACAGCGACAATATGGTATTTCGGTTTGGGGAAGTAGAGTTGACTCCGACTATAGATGAAGTTCTTGCCAGTTACGAGAGCGTTGGCATGTGCAACAAGAGTAAGCACCAACCCGATACTGATCTTCTCTTTCCAAAAGTATGGGATTTTGCCGAAATCAAAGAAAAATTGTCACTCGTCAAAGCTGAATGGATGGACAGGCTGCCCGGGTCAAATATTCCACTTCGAAAGTTGTATTATCGATTTGGACGTGCAAGAGCTTACGAGAAGTTCAAAGAAGAGTTTGTTTCGGAAGAAAATGGAAGGAAACACGCCCCTCGCTTTTGCGATATGTCTACTTGGGACAATGGTGTTTCCCCAAGGACCAAACTACTCCATCCATCCAAGTGTAGTAATGGTTACTCATGCTATTTTTAACGGAGTAAGCTACGGGCCTGTAAGAAAGTACTACAATTTGGCTCCTATGATCCTTGCTGACATTTACAGGGCGTTGGATAGGTGCAAAAATGGCACACGTTTCTTTCAAGGGTGCAACCTAATACTTCAATGGTGGATGATGAGACACTTGATCAAAGCTCATGATCCAACAGAACCAGATCCCTTGGAAAAGACCGAACAGGCTCGAAAGTCACGATTGGTGGGTGCAACGTAATCATTTCAACAGGACTGGAGGCCAAGAGTTTTGGTACCCGAGACTTCAGGGTTTGAGAGAGGAAAATGTACAGTGGTCGATCCAATGCTTGGTAGTAACAAAACAAATTGTGATCCGAAGCGGAAAGGCCCCCTACTTGATATTTGCTGGGTTGAGAGGAACTAGACCATATGCTCCCGGTCGTAGTCCTTAGACAGCTGGGAGGGAAACAGGAGATTCCCCCAAATTGCGGACATGAAGAAATTTGCAACCGATCATGAAAATGGACGAGTCTCTTATGCTGAACACATACGTAGGGCATGGAAAACTCGAAGGATATTGGGCGAACCGGTACCAAATAGATTCCGTCCTGAATGTTCTAGGGATTACAAAGAATGGTTAAAGAAGAGTCTCGTTGGGACTATCGAACCCGGTCCAAACGTTCCCCATATTATTACAGATGTTGGAGCCAAGCATCAAATCCGACTTCATCAACTTCAAGAGAAGTTCGATAGGAATGAGTTAGAGCATCAACGTCGGCACTCAGAAGACGCCAAAGTCATAGCTCAGTTGAAACAAGAGCTACAAAAATCTAGGCAATGTATGTCAGAATTAGATGATAGCATGGAGCAGCAGATTCAGTCGGTCGAGAGGTTCATACATCAAGAAGGGGCTCGGTTGGCAAGAGATCACCTATGGGCGAACAGATATGCTATGTGGGAAGAGGTCAGCATAGCAAAGAGGAGCAGACTTGGTGAAAGATCAGGATGAACTTGGAGTTTGTTACCATCCCCTGCGTGGGATTGCTTTATTTGTACTTTGTTTTGTAATTTATTTTTCGAACACTTTTCCCCAATTTTATGTTTGTCAAGCATTTTTGAATGCTATTAATGAAATATTTTTGGGGATAATGAATTGGCTTAAAAAGACATATACATCCTTCAATTCGCTAGGCCTACCCTTGGCACAAAAGGGTCACATGCATGTTTAGGACGCGATATTTGTCTGTTTACTTGTGTGCTTTAACTGTTTATGTGGTACGTTGCTTTGAATGAGGACATCCTTAGCCCACTCCTTTTAAAAAAAATTCCAAGAATTCCTACAATATCAAATACAAGTCACTACCAAAAGGTCCGACCAAAAATTTCACGAGTCTTGAGTTTCTCAGCCAGAAATAAAATTCTACTACCAAATCCTAAAAATGTTACTCTATCATCTCAGGAAAAGGTGAAATTGCTGCTAAGATGGAAAAGGCAAGAATGTCGAAGTGAAAAACGACTGAGGAAGAGTACTAAGAATGAAACTGCGTCGACTCAAACAAGAGATTCGAGAGATGGGAGAAAGAAGAATAGAAGTAGAATTAGCCACCACAGCTGCGCAAGTCAAAAGTGCAGCACTGGACGCGGAGTTAGCGGCTAAGATGGCAAGATATGCTGTCATAAACGAGGAGACGGTTGCTATGCGGAAGGAACATGATGCCTTCGACAATGATATAACCATGAGGCTTCAAAAACTACATGGAAAGTACCCTTTCCTTAACCAAGAGGCCACCAACAGTGGTATTGAAGGCACTGGACCTGAATCTGTTGAAGAGGAACTTGAGGAGGAAATTGTCTATAGACCTCCTTTCAAGGGACGGTGGAAAGAAGAGAATGAGGAAACCACCCCCGAAGCATATGAGCTTACCCCCCGTGGCTAATACAACAGTCAGAAGAAGATGTTTTGATGAAG